CCCCCCCCCCGTTGCCGCCCCGCACCCCTCTGTTTTTCTGTCCGGCGCCGTCGCCAGGGCACGGCGCGTCACTGTCCCGGCGCCTTGTCGGGCTCCTTTCCCCGCTGGATCCCCGCTCGGAAAACAGGGCGGCTGTGTCTGGGCTGCCAGGGCCAGGAGGCTGCGTGCACGGCCTGTGCACAAGCGCTGCGGGGTTTGGGGGCCAGGCAGAAATGCCCGGGGAAAGTTTCGGTGTGCGGCCGGCGGCCTTGTGTAACGGGGGGATCGGGTTCCCCCACGGCACTGAGCCGGCCTGCTCGGAAATAGGTGAGCTGTGGGGTTTCAACCCTTGCAGAGGTGTGGGTGGGCAGCGGGCTTGGGAGCGGGGGGTGGCAAGGGGGTTCCTCTGCGCCGGGTGCTGTACAAACGCTTGGATAGGGATGATAGTTTGGACAGGGCTGATCCTGCCGCCGGCAGGGCTTGGGCTTGATGGGACCTCTGCAGGTCCTGTCCAGCCCTGAGATTTCTGTGGGTGGAAGTGAAAGGCAAGAGGCAGCCGGTGCAGGGAGGCAGAGAGAAGGGGGAGCCTTGATGTTATTTGCAGGGAACGGCTTCCCCAGAGCCGGCCCAGCCCAGCCCGGGTCCAGGCCTTGCTGTGAAAGCAGCTGGAGGGGGCAGAGGTGGGAAGGGGCAGGTGGATGGTGCATGGGGATCAGGGGCAGAGCGAGGAGGTCAACCGAGACCCGGGCTCCCTTTCCTCCCCACGCGCGTCCCCGGGTCGCTCCAAATGAGCCCTGGAGATCGCCCCGCTGTCGGGAGCTGTGTGGATCTGGCCTGCCGGCTGCTGGGTTTTGATACATCCTCAGAAAATGCGGAGCTGGGGGTGGCATTTGGCACAGACCAGGCTGGATTGCAGACTCACTGGGCCGGGACTTTTCTGGCAGGTTTTCTGTGGCACAGATGCATGCTATGAGAACTGGGATAACTGGAACATGCTGGTTTCTGGGTACCTTTGGGCTGGTACCAGCATGGTTGTATCTAGGATTTTGAAAAGGGGGATGCAACATCCCACAACACACATTTATTTGCCTCCATATGAAAAAGGACCAGAAGCTTTACTAACATGCAAGAGGCCTGGGGTCACGTTATTCAGCTTAAGATTGAAGCCAAAAGCAATATAACTTTATTGGCAAGTGTTATATTATGTGTAAAAAAAAACCCCAAACAAATAAAAAAACCTGCCATAAATTAGGCAAAAAATACTAGGAAGGTTTTTAGGTTGTAGCTGTATTGGTCTAGAGGAAAAAGCAATCAGGACTTGTGGTAGTGGTGATCTTTTCTTATTAGACCAACTAGATTTTTGCTACTAAAGATTTTTTTTTTTTTTTGCAAAAATGTAGTTGGTCTAATAAAAGAGATCACCTCTACCACGAGTCCTGATTGCTTTGGGAAGTTTTTAGTTCTTGCATCCAGCAATCATTAGGATTCAAGGTGCGTCTCCTTTCAGGTTTGTAAATCAAAATGTAGCTGGCTTGGCAGAGCCTCCGATGCGTCGCTGAAAGCTTTTTCTACTCCTGGGTTAGCATTCACCTGAGTCAAGGCTTCCACACCTGAGCCGGCGTTGGCAGCTTGGAGTTAAAAGCAGTCTGCACAGCTGTGACATGGCAGCTACGTTGCCAGGAGCAGGCGACAGAAGAGAGGAGAGCTTGATTAGTGGGAAATCAAGGTCCTTTGGTGGGGAAGGAGGAGAGGGGGTCATTAAGTCCCATGGAATGAAGAACTGAGAATCAAGTAGATTATAATAGATGGTATATATGATATATAGTATTCTATATTATAGTATAGATTATAATAGATTAGGATATTGTGTATTATAGTACAGATTATATACGTGGCAAACTGGCTGGCAGCAGCCTGGCTTGGAAGGGCTCCAAGCGATTGATGGGGCGTTCCCACCAATCTGGTGATGGCAGGGGAGAGGCTTGCCCCGCTCCTACCCAGCTGGACCTGAGAGGAGACTAACCCTTCTCGGTATCCAATTGGTCCATTTGCAATCTGGGGGAGGAGCCTCCGGAGGGAGTAAAAGGGCAACGTGCCCAGCACAGGGGCGGCTGCGTTGAGGGACAAAGAAGACGGCAGAAGAAGAGCTGGCAGAGCTGGTCAGCGGGGCAGAGCGGTGGCTCCAGAAGAGCCTGAAGACGGATCGTTGGACGGGGAGCAACAAGCGGATGTATCCCCCAGCCCCGCCGCGAGGGAGCGTGGCGCCAGTGCGCAGCTGGTGCACGGAGGGTCTGAGAGGGACCAAGACCCTGGGAGCTGCAGACTCCAACCCCAGCATGAGGCCGGGCATCCTGGTGCACAGGCGATGCACGGAGGGTCCAGAGCAGACTGAGGCCCCAGAGCCACACGAGGCTGCTGGGGTCTCCAACCCCAGCACGAGGCCGGGAATACGGTGGATGGGTTGATGCACAGAGGGTCCGGGAGTGGACTGAGCCCCCAGAGCTGCATGAGGCAGCTTGGGTCTCCAACCCTCAGCACAGGGCCGGGTGCACGGTGCATGGAGGGTCCAGGAGGGGACCGAAACCCTACAGCCACATGACGTGCATGAGCCAGGGCTGCTGGTGCATGGGACAGTGCACAGGGCCCAGAGAGGGCCCGAGGCCGGAAGGGCCTCGAGACACGGAGGACCCCCTGCTGAGGAAGGAGATGCCTCAGCCGAGGAACAGGAGGGCCTTGTTCCTGAGTTACCGGAGAGAGGGTTTCCCACAGTGGAGGAGGGATTTCCCCCATTGTTTGTGGCCAGCAGCTGGAGGGGAAGCCCCAAAGGGGAGGACTCCCAGGTTGTGAGGTCCCCTTCGTGGGGAATGCAAACAGGGTTGCGGGGGCCTGTAGGGCACAGAGAAACTTTTACTTCTTATCCTTGAGGCACTGTTATTGCATCAGTGTAACATGAGTTACCTTTTGTCTTCTTGGGAATCTAAATTTGGGCATACTTTGCTCTGCATCTTATATTTTGTAAATCCTGAGCCTCATATTTTGGAACCTGCACCTTATGCTTTGTAAGCCTTACATCGCTTTAGAGTATAAGTGAATGAGACCTTTGTCTGACCTCTTGATCTCTCATCAGTATAATATATAGAGTACCTGTATAGGCATGTGAATAAATTGTTTATAGTTCCTATATTTTCTGTACACATGCTTATATTATGATTTCCTTATCTTATTAAATTTGTACATAGTTAAGTTTTATCGTGTGTCTAAGCCTGACTCTGTAGGGGAAGGAGGGAAACTGCAGCAGGCAGTGTCACCCCACCGCACACCTGCCCTGCTGACATTGCCTTCAGTTGGAGAGGGGAGTACATAACTGCATACTACCCAGGATATATATATATAATATAGTATTATGTATTATGATCTAGATTATAATAGATTTTATATATATAATGAGAATTCTGTATTATAATACAGATTACAATAGCTATATTATATATTATAGTATAGATTAGAATAGATTACATATATTATATATAGTATTATAGAGTATAGATTATAATAAGCCATGAAGTTGTGACTCCATATCTGCCTCTGCCAGGCTCTAGGTTTCAAGTTTGGGTGGGTCAGGAACCCAAGGGGGGTGAGACTGCACCCTCTCGGATCTGCCCCTGGGTATCAGGTCCCCTCATGCTGGTGTGACCGCATTACGCTGCGCCACTGCAACAGATAAAGGAGCTCGGGCGTGAGCAAGTTTGTGCCTCGCTGATGTTGTTGGTCTATATCTGTCCCCAATCTCATGTACCAGGAGTGGCCCCATGGGTGGGGACAGAGGGGAAAGGGGCAGCTTTGTGGTTGTATGGGTGCAGCATAGAAGAGGCCTGCTGTGTATAGAGCGGCTTGCTCATCCCTGGCTGCTTGGCAGCCCAGTTTCACAGCCCTAAAGGGAGGAGAATCATCTCCCTTTGCACCGTACATGCACAGCAGGGCCCTGGTCTTTGCTGGGGTCTCTAATGGTTACAGCAAGATACATTATATTATATAGGGCTGGTGAAATGAAGCTGATTGTGGGGTGGAGGCTGGCAGGTGACATGGATAGCCCATGGGACTGGGGTATGGATGAGATGAGGGTGAGAAGGGAGGAGGTTTCCCCTGTCCAGTCCATTTCAGACTGGATATGGGGACACAACCCCATTCCTGATGTGCTGGTTTCAGCCCCGCCTCGATATGAGGAGAAACTGGACCTGGGAGCGGGGGTCTCCTGGGGGGCTGAGCTGGTGGCAGCTCCATGTATGTCTGGAGCCTGCTGATCCATGCATCCCCATCTGCGACCTCGCAGCTGCTCCCCAGATCAGGGCTGCATAAGTCAGCCCCCGCCCCCTTCCCAACTGATGCAGCTGTGTGGTGCAGTGGTTAGCATGCATCAGGCCTCAGTTTCTCCACTCACGGACTGCATCAGAGAGGCCAAAGCGACTTGCCGGCAGGCACAGAAGGGAATCGGACAGCGAGGCTAGATGTGGGGGAGGGAGAGGGCGGTGGGCTGGCTCCCAGCCCTGTGCCCAGACCACCCTGTGCCCTGAGTGTCAGCACCTCGCACCATTCCCACAGCCATCAGGTCGCCCCTCCACACTGCAAGCCTGCAGACCTTGGCCTGCTTCACTAAGTAAGGTGGAAGTATGCATTGGGGAAACTGAGGCATGGACCTCCTCATGGCCCTCCAGAACCTCCTGGTCATTGCTAGCTCTATCCTGGGAAGGGCAGGATTAAACCCCACTAACCCTGGCCTCTTTCTCCCCCCCACCCGGCAGCCCAGAGGTCCAAAGTTCTCCAACGCCAAGAGGAACAGGCCCTGCCAGGCTTTCCCCGGGATCCCAGGTACCGGGGGGGGGCAGACCCCATCCTGCCTGGGAAGTGGGTCTTATCTGCAGCCGAACTTGGGGGCCGGCTCAGGCCCTGCAGAAACTGGGCCAGGAAGGACCCACACCCCCTCCCAGGGGATCCAGGACTGGGTCCCTGCCGGCCTCTGATGCCATGTCCTGGTTTCAGGCGAGTTTGTGCTGGAAGCAGCACCCGGCGTGCGGAGGAGCCTCGGTGCCAGCCTCGGGTTTGACTCTATCCCGGGTACTCTGTTCTGCACCAACCAGAGGGTTGCTTTTGTGCCGGACGTGCCCCCCGGGGCCAAGGTGGGTGCAGGGGAAGGGGCGGGGGGGTCCCCATCCATGCTAGCCAGCAGCTAATCCCACTACATGCCCAGATCATGGCCGAGTGGGGTGTGTGGGGGTATGGCCCAACCCTCCCCTGACCCATCTGCTCCCGGCTGCAGGCACGTCCACGCTGCTCCTTCCTGCACAGCGAATACGACGTGGCCCTACCTTGCATCGGGAAGCTCGTAGCAGGTAAAGGGGCCTGGGGTATGCAGTTGTGGGGGGTCGCAGGGAGTGGCATGGGGCAGTTTGCCCCCCGGACCCCTCGCTGGGTCTGGAGGCAATGGTGTATCCCTGCTACCCTCTTTCCTGGGAGTGCTTTCTGCGTCTTGGGGCTGAATCCCTCAGTTCGAGCCCCTGACCCGGCTTCCCTGCCACAGCCAGCAGCGTGTCCAAGGCCAAGGTGCTGACAGCCAGCTCCAGCCTCAAGTTCATGCCCGAGGAGCTGGTCCTGTACTGCAGGGACTTCCGCGTGCTGCATTTCCGCTTCCCCGAGAGTGGGCTGGAGCCGGGCGCCTTCCGGGTGAGTCTGACTCTCCCTCGCGCCCCTGCGGCAGGCAGGGACCCTGCTGCCCATGTGCTGTGGGTCAGATCCTCATATTCCCATGTGGTGGGAGGCAAAAGGCAGCTGGGGTCAGTGGTTAGTTACACCAAGTGGGGGAGGACGTGGCTTGGTGTCAGGGGCTGAGGGCCCAGACTCCTGGGTTCTTAGTTTGAGAAGGGGAGCAGGATCTGGGTGCTTGGAGGGGGAGCCAAGACTCCCGGGTGCTGTTCCTCATGCTGCTGACCTCTCCCTGCCTCAGTTTCCCTTAGTTCTCAAATGGGGAGGGCTGGATTTCCTTTAGCATCCATGCACTCGGGGATCCCCCAGCCCCGAGAGGTTGGTACCAGTTGATCCCATACAAGATCCCATACAGTCCCTGGCAGGGATCATTGGACCCCTGCTAAACCAGATGGGACAACTGACAACTGATGCCCATGAAAAAGCAAACTTGCTAAATGAGCTCTTTGTGTTCACCAGTCCCATGGGACACCCCTGCCCACTGTGGGTCAGGGAGGTCTGGGTGAGGGAGATCCCTTACCCTCCATCATTGCTGACCTCCTGAAGGAACACCTTGAGAGGCTGGATACCTTCAAGTCAGCCAGCCCTGTTGGGTTACACCCCAGGGTACTCAGGGAGCTGGCGAGCATTATAGCCCAGCCCCCGGCATGGTTTTTAAGAGCTCTGGTGAAGTGCCTGAAGACTGGAAGAAGGCCAATGTGGTGCCTATCTTCAAGAAAGGGAGGAAAGTGGATCTAGCAAACTACAGGCCCATCAGCCTGACCTCTATCCCAGGGAAGGTCTTGGAAAAGATTATCAAAGAGGCCATCCTTAATGGACTGGCTGATGGCAACATCCTGAGGGATAGCCAGCACGGGTTTGTTGCGGGTAGGTCTTGCTTGACCAATCTCATTTCCTTTTACGACCAGGTGACCTATCACCTGGACAAGGGAGAAGAGATTGATGTTGTATATCTTGACTTTAAAAAAGCCTTCAATCTGGTATCCCACGATCACCTCTTGGCAAAACTGGCCAACTGCAGCCTCGACCTTGCCACAATCCGCCGGCTGGGGGTTGGCTCTGTGGTCGGACCCAGAGGGTGGTGGTTGATGGAAGTCAATCATCGTGGCATGCTGTGACAAGTGGGGTCTCTCAAGGCTCTGTCCTTGGGCCTATACTCTTTAATATCTTCATTAATGATATAGACATTGGTTTTTAGAAGCGGGCTGGCCAAGTTCACCGACGACACCCAACTTTGGGGTAAAGCGTCAACACCTGAGGACAGGAGGGCGATCCAGGCTGACCTTGACAGGCTCAGGAAATGGGCAGGCGAGAACCTGAGGGTGTTTAACACCAAAAAATGCAAGGTTCTCCACCTTGGGAGGAAAAACCTGCAGCATCCTTATAGGCTCGGCAGTAGGCCTGTGCGAGTCGGAGGCAATCCGATCCGGCTTCGGGTCCAGCTGCTTCGGATGGCTGCGATCCGATTGGGAACTCCGCACCGGGTTTCCGCCTTGATCCCGCCTGCAGCATCCTTATAGGCTCGGCAGTAGGCCTGTGCGAGTCGGAGGCAATCCGATCCGGCTTCGGGTCCAGCTGCTTCGGATGGCTGCGATCCGATTGGGAACTCCGCACCGGGTTTCCGCCTTGATCCCGCCGAAGCTTCAGAGCCGCCTCGGAGATCCGGCCATAGGGTATAATGGGGGATCAATGAAATAGCTATAACTTTGTTGTTTTTTGTCCAATTTGGATGAAACTTGTAGGGATGGTAGCCTCTGCTGAGAGCATGAAACCTGCCAAGTTTCAAGGAGATCCGTGCAGGGGTTTGGGGGGAACTGCCCCTCAAGCTGCGGACAAGCACAACTGGTGCCACGGGTGACACTGCGTGTGTTGAGGCGCGGCGGGGTGACAGCTGCAGGGGTGGTGGCCCCTGCTGTGACGCCGGCCAGCTGTGGAGGAGATCGGTGCGGGGGGTCCTGGGGCCCTGCACCCCTGGCTGCTGACAGGCAAAACTCGTGCCAAGACTGTCTGTCTGGGGGCAGTTGATTGTCTGTATTGAGTTCTTCCTACTCTTAGCCTGGGTTTGTACGTGCC